CCACACAAATTTCCGTAATTTAAACAAAGTCATGGCTAAGACTGCAAATCAGAAACTGCAGAGATACTGATGATGACGATATTTATAACTATGATGATGCTAACATAGTTATTAAAATGTTTATGTAACATCAAATGGCATACTTGACTGCCAAAAAATTGCCACACATACCTGCAAAGCCAACATAATCCACCAGCTTTAAACTGTCCATTGAAGTGATCTACAGAATTAACTCCAGTACCTTTGCATTGTGAACACGATACAGCACCTGGTAATTATGTTGTCAACAAACACTGAGATGACATTCTCCATCACATGTGATTCTAGGAAGAAACTTTTGAACCAAGCTGTTGATTAATTTAAACTACCATGTAATTGCAAAAGGTTGACAACCTCAATTGAACAAGTCAGTGCTCTTGGTTCTAACCCCATAACATAGTGGAGAAAGACAAAAAAAAAATTGTATGCAATATAAAAAGCAAATCCCCTATACACGATTAAGGTACACGAACAGGGAAGGGGGGGGGGTGTTGCCGTACACTTGTATTAAGTACTATAACCTAAGCTAGGATCTGCAGTTTATAAAGGTTTCTGTTCTAATTTCAATTGAACTTCAATATGACGCGTGTATACCAGCTTTTTTGTTTAAATTGATAAACTATACATTGAAGCATGCTCCTTTACAAAACTATTATATAAGCGTCATATTTATAAGGGATGAATAACAGATGTCTAAACTCAACAATCATAGCAAGAGTATGCAAAATTAATGCATAAAGTCTAGAAATGAAAAATAAAAACAAAAAATCTGCATTTTACTTACCATTTCCGTCACAATTAGCACACACTATGCTATTTGGCTTGGTACCTTGGTTACTATCTGTAGCCTGTAAAACCAAGACAAAAGCAATTTTCAATCAACAGGCTACACAGGAGAGAAAAAAACAGGCAATAAGAAAATAACTAAATTACAACACAATCTCAGCATAACTCAACTCAACTAATCCTTGTCCTTAGATTTACCTTTCATGAACTCTTTATTCACTGTTTAATTGAAACCTACAACCAAGTGTAGGCCACCATATATCTCGTCACATCCTCATTCCATGTTCAATTGGAATTTCTTTGCCTTCGTGTTTGTTCTCACCAAATCATATCACCTCTAATTGTAAAACCATCCACAACATTTTTTCCATCAATGAAGCAATTAGACAAATAGCTTCACCATGCCTGAATTGCCCAGATTACCCTATTTCCTGTTTCCTGCTCATCATTTTAGTGCAGTTACCAGAGAGGGGGGTACTTCCTCCCAAAGAGATAGAGAAAACAAGAACAGAGAATGAGTGGACTATCTAAACCTTCTTCTCTACAAAGAGGCAAAGGCAAAAGGCCAGACGAACTTCTTAAACGGGGAATTCACTAAAATAGCACATTGTTTGCAGAAAATGGCTGCTTTCAGATTTTAAGCAGCAACTCCCGGTTGCCAACCGAATTTTTACCACTTGACTAGGAACAGCCACACCCACATCATCAAACTTTTCCTTCTTTTAATCTTAGATGCATCCATCGACCAAATTTCAAAATGACCAACAAGAACATCTCCACTATCCTCTATATTAAGGATTCAAAGAAAAAGAAGGATCTTTTTGTCAACCTTATTTTCTTCATTTTTCCTTATATCAATAACTCAATCAAAATACAATTATCTCCAATAACAAAATGTTTGTTGTTCTCTGGCCTTGTCTATGACCTACCTTTTAGGAGTCTCTCGCTTAGATTCTTCTCACGAAATAGAATTGAATGTTCGAATCCGAAGTGTCAAAGAAAATCCTTTAATGGGAGGAGTGCTACGAGTTGGCCTCAGGAGACACACTCTTCCTTCTCACTTATCTAAAACTAATAAAATAGAAAGGAACAAAAACTAAGTAAATACTCCTGGAAATAATGCCACAAATTTCAGGCTTTTTTCTCAAAATTGCTCCAAAATTCATTAACTCTACGGCTTCTATTCATATTTAGAGCACATCATATACCCGTATCATAGTTACCTATAATGCAGTAAAACAAGTGAACACATAAAACCTATGGACGAAACGCATTATACAATTGTCAAATTATGGAAACTGAGCTTCGAGTTCAAATTCAGATAAATACAGGAAATTCAGCAAATGGGAATTAGGATAAACTCTCACCTTGACCTTCAAAGCTTGGAATTTAGCATTTTCAGAGTGGAGTGTTACAACATTGACCCAATACACCTTTCCACCAGTACAATTGTCACTAATGAGGGCTGAAAAAAACCCATTAATGGTTCATCGCAATAAACGAGTTTATACCCATAAAGAGTTACATGAAATTAAATCTTCACACACACACACACAGAGAGATGGGATTACCAGGTTTGTTGTATGGCTTGAAGGAAGTGAAAGGAGTGAAACAAAGACAGTTGGCCATTTTTCTCAAGGAACTGGGAGTGGTCTTAATTAGAATTGACTGTTGGAAAATAGTTTGAAGATAATCAGAGGAAAGAATTGAAAAGATTTTGGGTTAGAGTATGAGTTTCGACTTTCCAAGCTGCTCTTGGTGGTAACGAATTTATCGGCAGAAGTAGCTTTACAGCTAGATAAGGCTCTCTCTCTCTCTCTCTCTCTCTCTCTCTCTCTCTCTCTCTCTCTCTCTCGGCATAATGACGACAAACATATTAACCCATTTTTTTTTCTTAAATTAATCAAATGATTAGAAATATCTCATCTTTTACATTAACGGATTAACGAGGCCATGTTCGTCACAGTTTATTAAAACTTGGTTGATGTGAAAATTTATAATATAAGATAGGATAAATTTGAAAAAAAAAATTTATCGGATGTTTTTAAATAGATTAATTTAACAGTTACCAACATCTATCTCAAAATCATTTACATTGAATTTTCTCTTTATTAAATCTATCGCTTCTTACTTACGTTGCACTGAGTTATCTCTAATATAGTTATAAAACACGCATTTAATAAAAATATCTATATAATATAATTCAAATTTCAAAAGATAAATAAAATAATATTTATTTTTCACAGTTGAGATCGTTTTAAAATTATATTTTAAAATTAATCAAACAACTAATATTAACATCTCAAATTTAATAGAAAAAATAAGAGTTTAAAGGTGTGTTTGAAATTACTTTTTAAAAGTATTTATAAAAGTTATAACTTCTCATAAGTTTTTTTTTTTTTTAAATAGTGTTTGAAACCGCCCCATCATTACCACCTTCCAACCACCATCTCTGCTATAACAACTACCACCACTTCCGTTGCGGTCGTCGCCACCACCATTGTCACCACCACCACCACTCATTGTCCCACCACTACCACCGCTGCCGCCACCATTCTATCACCACCTCTTCCACAAAAACTACCACCACGGCCCCACTGTCACCGTCACCGCCACCACCATCGCCGCCACCACCCAACCACCATCTCTTCTATAACAACAACAACCACCGCTGTCGCCACCCTTTCACCACCACCTCTTCCACAAAAATCACCACCACTGTCCTACCACAATTGTCGTCACTCTACCACCACCACCACCCCCTACCTCCCTACCACCATCATCCCCACTACCACCACCCCCACCCATCGTCATCGCTATCATCACTACTGTTGCCGCCACCCTACCACCACCGCCACTGTCCCATCACTATCTCTACCACCATCATCCTCATTGTCCCACAACCACGACGACTACCCCCATCACCCTAACCTTCACTACTCACTATTATCATCATTTTATTTTTATATTTATTACCATTGTCACTATCACTTTTACCATTACCACTGTTGTCGTCATCTTACCACCACTGTCACTGTCCTACCATCACTTTTACCACCGCCACCCCTACCGCCCCACCACCACTATCACCGTTGTCACTCATGACTGCCACCATCAGTAATGGCTATTGTCACCCATCACTGTCTCCCACCCCCCACTACCACCACTCGCCCTCCACTACAATTAATGATTAAATTTTTTTCTCTTTTCATCTATCTTTGTAATTTGATTTTGAGTATGAATACAAATTTATTTATTGTCGATCCATTTTTTTATTACTTCGTGCATTAATGCACGGGAAATAACTAGTTTTTTATAAAGAGTATAATGTTATTGGGACCTAAAGTAACCTAATTCACTATAATCATTAGATTGATTGTGAGTCTTATTAAATATTAGAATTTGATATTAATCCAATTTACATCTAAGGCTTTACCCAGTAAGCCACAACCTTTTTTGTCTTTTTTTTTTTGTTCCTTTTTTGGTTCAATGATCAGGAGTATTTAGGCCAATTTAAGTGTACTTCGACTAATCCCTTATCTTATCTGATCAAAGGCAAGTCATTCATATCGGAACTAAGGTATTCATAAAAAAAAAAATCTATTATAATTTATCCTCAAAAAATTATTAAAATTAAAATTTAAGATGTGTAAATTTACAATTCGTCATTTGAGCTACTTTGGATTAAGCCACAGCCTTTGCTTTGCAAGCCAATTTGCTGAGACATTGGCTTTGTTGTCCACCTCTTAATTCCTTCAAGCACAACAACATTTTACACTTCATACACACCCACTTGAAATCATCCGTGTCTTCCTTTGCCAAGAAACCGATTGTCGAAACTAGAAACAAGGATGCAAATGATTTGTCTAGTTTTTACGGTCATCTTGACAATAAATTTTGAGGATATAAACAACTAAATGATTGTTATGAAACCGACGCTAACTGGTTGGAATAGAGACTTTTTTTTTTTTGAGTTAAATTGAGTTGAGAAACAACTAACGAATTGCAAAACTGTTCCTCATTATTTCTTGCCAATTGGGCATTCTATTTTCAATGTGCTAGACATAATTATCCAGATTTAAAACCTTGTAGGTGTAAACTCATTACAATGTATGCCGATCACTCTTCAAAGAACTCGAAAAGGGCATAAATTTAAGGCACTGTAAGGCTTGAATTGGGATCTTCTACTAAAAAAAAATTGTATCATTTCTGAAAATTCAAAATCAATATCTTCAAGCATCAGGAGGATCAATGAATAAGTAAGGTCTCTTACTGTTGAAGCCAACAAATTCACAACCAGGAAAAACCCAAGTGAAAACTGCTAACAAGCAACACAGCTACTATTTCCATTGCAGGGTCATCACGCTATCTTGTAAACCTGTATTCCCATTTGGAAGCATAGCGAATCCTCATCAGTCAGTGTCACAGGGCAAGTGAGAAGCTAGCAGAAACTCTTGGCATAGTGGTATCTCTAGGACCTCCAACTACTCCAATCATAACACACCAGAAAGAACTTTTTGTCACTAATCAGCTAAATCCATCTCACAGCTTCAATACGAAAAAAATGAACTGCAATAATGCAGCAAGGCTCTGTCCAAGTCATTTGGAAAATAACCTTGTCAATCCTGCTTGATGCAGTGTGCATCGGTACCATGCTGTGTGCAATGATGGTAACCCATAGTGTGGAGGAAATCCCTGATCTCTTTTGCACTGCTATTGCTGGCTTGTAACAACCGCTCATCTTCCTCATAGATTAGGTACGGGGCGTCACCTTTCTTTCTTGACAGTAACTTTGAGGCTCCCTTCAATACATGATACTCCCAGCCCTGAACATCTATTTTGAGCAAAAGCACAGATTCAGACTCCGGGATCACTTCATCAAGGGGAATGGACCTTACTTGAAGTGCAATTTCTTCATTGAACTTAAATGCCATCTTTGCACCACTGGCTGACACTGCACTATTGTCGAGCCGGCCAACCAACTAGTAACATACGCAGAGAATTATGATGAGAAAACATATCAGGACACCCAATGCAACAAGATGCAAATAAATTGACACCTGGAAAAGGTATTTAATATTTTATTTAAACCACAGAAAATAACTTGGATAACAGATGGATCATAAGATATATGCCAGATTCGATGGTATTCCTCGTTGGAATGGAGAATGTAAGCTAGACAAAAGTGGGGAATAGAATACCAAATGATTGGCCAGCACAAACAAGACAAATATGTTTTTACGATCCAGGTAACCGACTCCCTTCAACCACAGACTACGAAACTACATGATGGTCTTTAACTTAACACTACCATTCACATACACAACAATAAAATAGAGCATTATACCAAATGTGATTTTTGTCTTACAGAGCTTCAGCCAATCACCCTGTATCACTCCATAAGTTACCAAAACCTCATGTGATAGTGTGTGTCGTAGCTTAGAAGAAAGCAGCAGAGCACTGAGATTTATTGGGGAATGATATGACAGAAATTTTTTCAAAAGAAATGTTCCATAAACAAGCAGAAACCCTATTATTTCAACTCAACTCAACAAAACCTTCATCCCCACTTCTTAGGGTCAGCTACATGAATCGTATTTCTCCACTGTGCTCTATCAAGGGCCACATTTTCCTTTAAACTGTGAGTTATCGTACTTTTGTTTTACTATCACGTTCAGAGCTAATTTTGACACATCTCTTCCTACCTCTACCTCTACCTCTACCTCTACTGCTAGTTTGCTACCATACCCATATCACTTCCTAATTTGTGCTGCATTTCACATACATGAATAATACACATCACAAACAGTGAACTTCCAACAATCAATAAAGATTAACATACTACTACTTACACAGAATTCAAAAAATCTATAATTGTATCATAAAAAAAAAAAGTACGAAATCGACTTGAACATTTTAAAATTTTTAGTAGAGAGCATTGAATTCAATCAAATACCTTGTGAAACGTAATGTTCCCTATCCGATCAGACGCAACAGCCTCAAACACCTCCACCAAATCCCCCACCTTATTTAAGTACACTCCATCACAAATTCTTTGCAAATTCTCAAAAACCGGCTCAAATGCCAAAACCCTAAACCCCATAACCGCGGCGGCAAATGTTGCCATTCCAACATTAGCCCCAACATCCACAAAAATTCCCATTTTACCATCACCCTTCATCTTCTCCAACACCTCCTGAACAGTCACAGAAATATCAGGTTTTCTAAAGGGTTTTCCCTTCAAGACCCTAACAATATTCTTGTGGGGCTTTTCGGGTAAATTTCCGAAATCGGAAAGAGAATAAAGAAATGGGTATTTGAGGCCTTCAACAATGCTGGCAATTACTGGGTGGGCTTGAGGTGAATTATAGCAATCAAAGGGTTTGATCAAACGGTCAGAAATTATTTCTTTGAGGGTTTTGCGAGCTTCAGGATTAGGGTCTTGGGTTTGGGAGGAGAGGTGGAGGAAGGTGAGGAGGATAAAAGAGGCCGAGAGGAATAAAATTAGGGCTTTGGGATTGAGGAGTTTTGTTGGTTGGTTTCTTTTCCAGGCAATTGCCATGGAAAACTAGGGGGGGAAAGTGAAGAAAATTTTTGGGAAATTTCCCGGAAAATTTTAGGATGTTTCTGGGAGGACGAAAGTTTGGATTTTGAATGTGATTCTGCAGAATGAAGGGTGGTACCGTGCGCTTGATGTTCAAGTGGGGAGCTGAATGGTCAAAGCACGAAATGAAGAATGGAAAGTGATGGAAAGTTTTGGGATTTTCCGAGAAAATTTGAAACTTTTCTGGCAAAATCGAAGCCTGGATCTTGAACTGGACAGTGAGAGACTGGGGTGCCATGGTGGTTTTTGGAATGGAGTCAATGTTATCAGAACCGGACAGGCCGGTCCCTAAACCGGTCCGCTTTACTTAAAAGATCGTCTGTGCTAGTGTACCGTTGAAAACCGCCAAACAGGCCGGTTTTGAACATGGACTGTTAATTAAAGGATAAATTATATTTTGTACCCTCAAAGTTTTATTTGGGTCCTTGAACTATCAATTAAAATAATCAAGTCCTTAAATTTTAAATTTTTTATTTCAATTAAACAATTCAAATTCATCAATAATTTTAAAGAAAAAGAGTCATATTTAAAATTACTTTTGATGACTCATTTTGATATAGATTTAAGTACTTCAATTAAATGTATTGGCTCACCTTTAAAGATTTGACTCATATATTATGTTAATTTGGTCAAAATTAAGTATCTAATTGAGGTATGTAATGCTCGCGTGATGCTTTTTTCTCATAATTACTAATAAAATTTGGCATAGAGAGTTGACTGAAATTAATCGCAAAGTTAAATGACTTGATTGTTATAACTGACTATTGAGAGACCAAATAGTAATCATTAAGAGTAAAAATTATAATTCACACAAAATTAAATCAGTGTTTTTGTTTTCTCATACTCGGATGAATTCCACTAATTTACATCCCGTTTTGTTTATTGTTTTTGGTTTTTAAAAAATCTAAAAACATAAATACTTTTCATTTTTCTTTAGCAAAAAATTAAAAAAAAACGTGTTTTTAATATAGAGTTAAGAAAAAAACAAAAGAGATGCATTGGAATGATAAAGCTCAATCTATTTAATTGATAAAGAAAAAGGGCCTATAAATAAGCTTTACATCAAAACACTTCATCCTAGCACTAACCACAACTCCTAGAGCCTGTTTGGTATGTTTTTTGGGAGTGATTTGGATTGACTTGTTCAAACCCGAGTTTGACCCAAAGATGAGATTCAACATTCAATGATATTCATACTCATGTTTGATATGCGCAGAGATATATGATTATTATGATAATATATTTGTATATAAATGACTATTTTGTTCCTTAGCCATTTTATATATATGGAGCATATAGGATATATGGAGGTATAAATATCATTTGTATGTTAAACCCTTTAACTCACATATGAAACTCACCCCCCTTGAGTTTCATGAAACCCAAGTATATGGGTTTCATGACCAGGCCATCTAACAAGCTGTGTTTTCAAACTTTAGGCTAAACATGAGTTTAAAGGGTTTATTCCCTAACCCACAATCCAAATCCCTCCCAAACCCGCATACCAAACAACCCCTTATAAATCAGAACATTTCATCATAGCACTAACCACAACTCCTATAAAATAAGATCACACATTAGACACTTTCTTAGCCATGAAATCAAATAACCAAATATCTAAAGACTCGAACAAACCTACCAATGACTAGAGCTTCCAATAATATTAATAAAAAAGAAATAAAACATTTACATTTTAACACCCTCCCTTAAACTGAAATCTGCAGAAATCAGTTTAAAAGAAAATCAACCCTCTGCAAAGTCCTCCTTTACAGTAGCATGTGAACAAACTCCAAGTAGACCACACAACTTCACAAATGTAGCTAGTTTGATCTGTATATCTGCAACTTGATCTTCACTTTGACAATAAACCAGTTTGATTGTTCCATCATTGCTGAGATCTCTTAAAAAATAATATTTCATATCGATATGTTTGCCTCTTCCGTGTAGCACATGATCCTTGGAGAGTTTGATTGTTGAGTTGTTATCACAAAAAATTGTAGTAGCTTCAACTTGCTTGAACTGTAGCTCTTCAAGAATTCTTCTAAACTAGATAGCTTGACAAGCACAAGCTATTGCAACAATAAATTCAGCTTCTATAGTTGACAAGGTGACAATTGATTGCTTCTTAGAAGACCATGAAACAGCCATTGTGCCTAACATAAAAACATAGCTCGAAGTGTTTCTTCTATCATCTTGATCTCCTACATAATCATTGTCGATAAACCCGAACAACTCTGACTTTTCACCATTCTTGTAGAACAGCCCACAATCTCTAGTTCCTTGCAAGTAACGAAGGATTCTCTTGGCAGCTAACAAGTGCATTTCTGTTGGATTCTCCATATATCTATTTATTAAACTCACAAAATACATTATGTATGGTCTTGTTGCAGTTAAATGCATCAAACTGCCAACAATTTGCTTGTAAAGTGTGTCGTCCACCTTCTTCCCTTCATGATCTTTGTTTAGCTTCAAGCCAAACTTAGTTGAAGTGCTTTTAGGATTGCAATCCTTCATCTGAAACTTGTCCAAAATATCTCGCACATACTTCTTTTGAAAAATAAAAATTCCACTAGCTGATTGCACTACTTCTATGCCAAGGAAGTAATGCATCATACTAAGGTCAGACATTTCAAATTCAAACATCATAGATTTCTTGAATTCTTTAAACATGACACCATCATTTCTAATAAATATACGATCATTTACATATAAGCAAACAATGAGTAGTTTTCCCTTATTTCCAATTTT